TGGCCCCCTTTACCTATGTAGTTAAAGGAACTGACAACGTTACCGCGCGAATTGATCGATTCAGCCTCCCACCGTGTCACACCTTTTATTATTAATCGATAAATCAATAAGAGAGCCAAAACGAATTTTAGGTGCACAAGAAAAGAAGGAACTGCAGCAGGTCGTTATCAAGTAGCCCCCTTCCGTGATGCGGCTTACCCAACGGATTCTAAGAATAGGTTGCTCAATAGGTGTAATTACACCTCCTCTTCGGAGCAGAGTTCTAGCCGTTAGTGAGGGTTTTTTTTTTCTTCTTTTTTTCGCCGCTGCTTATTTCAACGGGTTTTTAAAAGCTCGGATGAACCCGCAAGGCCTTTAAGCTGTTGGTAGACTTTTAGGCTCCAGTCACACATTGAGGCTCTGGTATTAATGATAATTTCGTTTAAGAAAGAAGAAATGTGTGGGGTAGGGGATGCAAACGAAAAAAAAGTAGAAGAAACAGACAAGCCCTTGCCAAACACGAAGTTTATCCAAAACCAGGCTACATAAGCGAAAAAAGATGGGTATAACCGCGCAATAAAATACACATTTATTCGAAACACCTGAATCGAAATTTATGCACCTGGAGATTATCGAATAATAATAGTGAGAATTTTAGACTTGAGGCTTTAAAACTTGCGGCCATAACAGGATAAGTCATGGGATTGAAAGAAACTTTCAAAAAAAATATTCTTGGATGACTATCAGAGAGAAAGCTTTGCAAATATGTGAATGGCATTTTTCAAAAATATGAAACAGCTTTACTCATGCTGTATATTTGAAACGGTTAACTGGTAAGTGAGGCCTGCCAACTTACAACAAAAATAAAAGATTTTAAACAAGCTAGATTAATTAAACGACTATCAAAAATTAAATTAAATCCAAATCTCTTCAAAATTGAAGCTTTAGACAAGATCTCAATGGATTAAAATAAAAAAAGGCTTCAATATGAAATCACTTTATCTGTCTTTAAAATTAGAGAATAGGGGTTGATTGATAAATAAGGTTCCCAATCTTATTAAAATATGTTTAAAATTGTTAAAATAATTAAAATGGATATTGCTGCCATATATAGTTTGGCGCCCTCTCCATATATTTAGTGTCTTCATAAAATACAAAGAAAAATCTGCAATGCTATTGGTTCTGACCTGACATCTCGGCTTCAGTCATTTCCTACCGCCGTAACATAGCTTCACTGTGACATTTCTACAGATAAATTCATGGCAATTATTGGGATGAACTTAGCTCTATGGTACTTAGACTCTATGAATTTAAGCGCAGTACTAGATTGGCAACTAGGTCTCATCATTTTACAGTTGAAATGACAATATATATATATATATATATATATATATATATATATTAAGATATTTTTTATGTTTATACATTCTTTTTATAGATACAAATATTTAAGTAAATGCTCTGTTTATAATAAACAGTATTAAACAACATTTACCGGCCTGAATGTCCGAGAAATTTTCATAGAAAAGACTGTCGGGGGACGAATATTTTCTATGAAAATTTCTCGGACATTGTCTTAAAATAATTGTCGGACTTTGTCCATTATATATATATATATATATATATATATATATATATATATATACACGTATGTATAAGTAAATAGGCTTCCTTCTCCACTACCTTAGCGGTAGGTTCTAAATATTAATATTAATTCATTTTCAACGGTCAGTTTTCAATGAGCACCTGATGATTGTCACGTGCATGAAACTCAAACGATGATAAATAACTGTATTTTTTCTATTTTTATAATTATGCTACCCTATCTGCTAGAGCACCAGACCGGAAATGGGTAACCGTAAGTTCTATGCTAATAGTTTCTTCCCTTGCACTTCACACTCATCGAACTCTCTCCCGGCTTCTTGTTTCTCGGTCAGCTTTCATCTTCCAAACTTTAAATGCATTGTCAATTGTGATCTTATGTCTTCTTAATTCTTGTTATTTTATTGTCTTCTTTCCTTAAAAGTAGTTTTTCACATATATTCTAACACTCATTAACGTCTTGTGTACTAGTGGCTTTATTGGCTTTGATCTTTTAACATTTAAATGAAATGGCAATCATTATCTTCTGTCTTCTTAATCCTTGTTCTTTTATTGCCCTTCCGCCATATTAGTAGTTTTTCTCATATTCTTTAACATTCAGTAACCCCCCCCCCCTTGCATCTTAGTGGCTTTATTGCCTTTGTTATTTAAAATTTAAATTCAATGTCAATTTTTATAGTCTGTCTTCTTAATTCTTGTTTTTGTATTGTCCTTTCTCCTTAGTAGTTTTTCTCGTAATCTCCAACACTCATTAATCCCTTGCGTCTTATTGGCTTTAAAATATTCTGAGGTATTTATGCAGATGACACTACCATTTACTCTAGTCTTAGTAGCAAATCCCTTAGATCTGGCAAAGTGAATTCGGTAGCTGAAAATGACCTCTAATCTGTGGTTAGCGCGGGCAGAATATGACTTGTAAATTTTAAAGCTTCCAAATCAAAACTGCTTTCATTTAGTCACGAAAGAGACTCTTTTTTGCCTGCTGTCAGTATTGATTTAAGACTCCAGCAGAGTAAAAAACTGCACCTTCTTCCACTGACTTGAAGTTGGGCGACTCCATCGAATCAATAGCTGTATCTACTGCAAGGAAAGTTGAGTCACTGTCTCACGCCAGAAAATCTTTCTCGTCAGAATCCATCATGCACATTTACAAATCTACCATTCGTCCCTGTATTGAATGCTCTTGCCATATCTGGACTTGTGTTCATCACGAGATTCTTGGCAATATCAACAGAAGGATCTGGAATGTAATCGATCGTGACCATGCCAACTACTCTGACTAGCTTTTTTTTCTCTGGTGCCCGACAACATGAGTTTAATCGTGATACAGGATTGGCACTTAGGTCCCACCATTTTACTGCTGAAAAAGCTAAATGCTATTCCACTTCTACTCCAATAGTTTCTTTTCTCGCACTTCCCATCTTTCAACTTACCTTCCGTTTACTTGCTCCTCTGATAACTACAATCTTCAAAAATTTAAATGCAACGTTAATCACCATCTTCTGTCTTCTTGTATTCCGTTCATCTTTTACCTTTCCTCAGTCCTCCCTATTCTCAGTTTTCACTTTCACTTTCACTCCCTGCAACACCCTGTATAAAAATTGGCATTCCCACCTTGCATGGGGTGAAATGATTAAAAAAAGGAAGTGTAGCGTAAATGAGCTTGTGTTCCTCCGAGGTCGCTCGTACAACATTAAATAATTATTTTAAATTTAAGTACTTTTCAATCTGCCATTCTTGTGCCCTCGCACACGTCACCAGCGTAAAAATTGATCCCTTCTCCCTGCTTCATCCCTCTTTTATCATACCGACACCACGGCCGAATGACCAATTAGCATTCTCCGTTTTTGTCGTCAGTTACCCAGGCAAATGGCACCCTCCAGTCCGACCAGTCAGCACACGACTTGCTATTGGTGGAACCACGCTAAGCTCTACAAAATCCACCATCACAGTATGCACACCTTTGGAATAATCTAACGTGAGGAGGGGAGATTCAAGTCATTTTCAAGGAACAAAATATCGCTGCTACATGTCGTGTATTGAGGTAAGGAACTTATTTTCTTTTGCACCAGATGCAAGCCACTCTAACTTGCTTGCTTCTAAGTAATTGTTCACCACAGAAAGAAAAAAATAGTTGATCAATTTTATTGTAGTATATGAATCACGGCAGGAAATACCAAATATTCCGAAACGAATTAATGTAAGCAACCTTTGTTCAGAGTGAAGTTCATCTGTGGTGGACCCATTAAAATATTGGGATCAACCCAAGACATAACAAAGCACACTTTGCGCACAGTGTCATATAGCGTAAATATGGAATGTGATCTTACAACCACAAGAGGCAGAATCGTGCCTAGCAGGGTTTGAGCGGCTGACACCAATATGTAAATAGGTGGCTGATCTAGCTGTTCTAAAAAAAATCAGATGACAGGAAGTTATATAAGCGCACCACCTGAGTGGGGGAAAGATAGAGAGTTTCGATCATGGGTGCGAAAAGATGATCCACGTTCAGAGAAAGCCTTCAAATCAACAGACCGACTCGCCGATATTAATGTAATGATGCTGGGGGTGCCGACTAATTGATAATACCCGCGGGCGAATGAATAAGACAAAACGTAAATATTTGATATTTAAATTTTCATTTCTTTCTCATCGTTAGTTTGTCAATTATTCTCGTGCGATGTGTGATGCGTTCTCCAGAGCGCTTGTCGAAAACATGGTCCTTACATTCTCCTTGTTTACTGTCTGAAAGACTGTCTGTTTCTCTCTCTTGATCGCGTGGTTGTTTATATAACCGCGTGTGTCACAAATATCCCAACTTTCGCAAAACCGGATTTAGGTGTGTCTGCACACCCTTTCTGTGACCGGAATTAATGTTAGCGTAATATTAATCCGGGTCAGAGAACATGTGACCGGGATTAACGAACAAGACATTTTTTCTGCATGATACTACATTAATTTACGTCATGAACGGTCCTTTTGCGCATGCCAGATTTGATCTTGTGTTCATCGTTTTCACAACGATAACATTAAAAAATCAAAGACCGGGTGTCAGCGACCAGGGCGATACCTCCAAGTCGGAGGACATTGGCTGTGGCCTGCTCTATGGAGTGAATTGAGGAATTCAAAGTTTGTGTTGCAGAGTAGTTTTCACAGTGGAGGCTTGTATTTCGCTAAGTCGGTCCTAAAAGGGTCCGACGTACAAAACGTTAGGAACTTGAAATAAGAGTTAATGACGCAGCAATCTAGGTGTGATGGTTGATACTTCAATGTCCGACACCGACTGACTCACTCAACTCCACTGAGCCACTGCTACTACTACTTATTATCTGTGGGAGAGTCTATTACAATAGAATAGATATTATGGTATAACAAAGTTATTTCTTCAAAATGTCATGGAAAAAATTCAAAGACCAATGCTATAAAACGAAGGGAGAGAAGAGCAGAAGAAACACAACAGGAGAGATAATCTAGGAGACAAGCAGATGCCGCAAACACAAGAAAATCAAAAGCATCTGAAACATCAAGAAAGTTACAAGCTAAGAGAGACCTTACACAGAGACATTAGTTGGTGATGATGATGGTGAATATTACGACAGTGATTTGCCATAAATTTTGAACATTTCATTACTTCACGCATCTGACGAGGCAGACTCTTCCCGCAGTAAGTTGCCATTTCTTTCTGAGGTAGACCAGTTCCCATCCATGTCTATAGAACCCGATCTATCCTGCTATTTACCCATAGCTGAAAGAGGGGAGAAGAAGAGGATTCCTACCTTTCACAAGGTTATTAGAACGTAAGTGAATGTAATGGATTCGACTGGAATTCGAACTCGGCTCTCCGATTCCTCAATCCGAGCCGCTATCCATTACTCCACCGTGCCTCCTCATTACTTACTAGCTTAAAAGCCGCACTCCGAATTCTGCAAATGGCTTTTCATCTTTGGCTTCAAATGACATCATTGCAAAACAGTTATTGTAGCTTCTGATAAAGCCAGATGAAATGTTTTCATCCAGCAGAGTCCCCACCCAGAAGTGATAGTAATGGCTCAGAAGGAACTGGTAGATCTTCCAGATTTTTTTTTTCTTTATTACAGCAGGTTTCATCTGGTTCATCCTTGAATCTCAGAGCATTCCAGTGCTTACAATGAATGGTCGTAGATCCAATAGATGTCATTTGGTGATTTGAATAGTCACTGTCACAGTTGTATTTAAAAGCAAGCCTAGACAGCCTCAACAAAGCAGCTGCATTCCTTTTAGCATGAGTGTAATTATCACTAACCTGTCTGGCTATTCTTTCATAAGTTGTTTCAAAAGATCTTGCTCTTCTATGGCTAGCTGCTTGTTTTCTCTCCTTGGCATTGTTATGGTCCGGTTCCTTGTACCACGGTGATAGTCCAAGGTAGAACCAATAAAGAAGAACTCGAACACGTATATGGAATAACACAGATATATTACAAACAGGAATATATACAGAGAAGTAGAAAGTGTTAGTACATACAAACACGTTTGGTAGTAGTTGTCTGAACGCGACTCTGTTTTAGACTGCCTCTGACTCGACTGACTGACTCGCTCGCTCTGACTGACTGACAGACTCCTGACGGACTTCTGACGGACCTCACTCCAGACTTCAGACTGAACGGTATTTAGTCACCCCCACCCCACGAGGGCATCATGTGACACAAGGCCGGTTTAACGTGGGATCTCCGAGCCCGTGGGATCGGCCAAAAATATGCCCTTTGAACCCGTATAAACGGGATCACGGCCGGTTTACCTCCCCGAAAGAGACTCCGCCCTTCGGCGTAACCTCGTTCGGGTTCCTCCCCGCCCGAAGGCAGAGAGTTCAACCGATCAGCCGGTCAGCCGGTCGCCCGACTTCGGACTGAACTCCCTGCTTCCTCTTGAGGCGCAGTATTTATTACGTATGGAATAGTCCATTATGTTATGGGTAAGGTCCCATAACAGCCATCTACTGCAGCTCTTGACATTCTCTTCATTCCAGCATCTGCTTCTCTCGTTGCATGCACCTTCTCTAATGTTTAAGATGCTCTTGATTTTACCTGTCTTGCAGTATTTGCTTCTCTCCTGGCTTGTACTGCTTCTGATGTTTCGGTTGCTCTTGGTATTCTATGATTGGCAGCATCTGCTTGTCTTCTAGCTTATGTCTCATCTCGTGTTTCTTCTGCTCATCTCTCCCGTTGTCGTATATTTCAGCTCTTTGGAGTTTTTCCATGGTATTTTGAAGAAATAACTTTGAATTCCTCAATTCACTCCATGGAATTTCAAAACTTCACTTTAACTCTGATTCGATGTATAAGTCCAATCCCGGCCAAAAGCTCGATTTCATCCGAAAGTCTGATTTGGGCCGGCACCCCGATTCGGGCCGAAACGCCGATTCGGGCCGAAACCCCGATTCGGGCCGACACCCCGATTCGGTCCGAAACTCCGATTCGGGCCGAAATGCCGATTCGAGCCGAAATGCCGATTCGAGCCGAAACTTCAATTCAGATCGAAATTCCAGATCCGACCGATTTCTTCAAATCAAAACCCCCCCATGGAATTTCAATTGAAGTGAATTCTTCAAATCACAAACTCTGCGGAACTTCAAAACGTCACGAAACCTCTCATTTTAACTCTAAGTCTTTGTAATTTGGAAGAAATAAAATTCCTTTCCTCAGTTCACAAAGGTTTGGAGATATTTTAAAGTGAATTTAAAACAAAAAAATATTAAATTCACAAAATTTTACTTTAAACTCAATGTAAATTAAAAACAGGTAAAATAAAACCAGTTTGTCTACGCAGAGCAAGTGTGACGGAGTTAGTGGTGTTACAGACACACGGACAGACAGAATTTGCCGTTTATTTATTCAGATCTATATAGATTAGAAGAATAGAAGAATTTAGACAGACAGACAGAGAGGCAGAGAGACAGATAAATCCCAAAGCTGGATGTTCTAGCACCAGAAGAAGGATAGATTTTCAATCAGGTGATCATCCTGTCTCCAAAAAGTTATAATATGTCTATGTAGTTTAAGTGTGACCCGAATTAGAGAGGTTTCAGACACACAGACAGAATTTGCCCTTTATTTATTTAGATCTATATAGATTAGAAGAATTTAGACAGACAGACAGATAGATAGATACATGTGAACAGACTGTGATAGATAGATAGATAGATGAAGAGACTGAAATATGAGAATAGATAGATAGATAGATAGATAAATCAAGAAATTGGGAAATACAAAGAGGCATAGATAGATAGATAGATAGATAGATAGATAGATAGGAACAGACTGAGATAGATAGATAGATAGATAGATAGATAGATAGATAGATAGATAGAATTTGAATTTTTAATTCGTCTCTCATCCTCTCTATATAAACCCCAAAGCTGGATGTTCAAGACGGATAGATTTTCAATCAGGAGATCATCCTAATTCCAAAAAGTTATAATATGTCTATGTAGTTCAAGTGTGACCAGAGTTAGTGGGGTTTCAGACATACGGACGGACACAGAATTTGCCGTTTATTTATTTAGATCTATATAGATTACAAGAATAGAAGAATTTAGACAGAGAGACAGACAGATAGATAGATAGATAGATAGATAGATAGATAGATAGATAGATAGATAGATCAAGAAACTGGGAAATACAAAAGAGGCATAGATAGATAGATAGATAGATAGATAGATAGATAGATAGATAGAATTTGAATTTTTAACTCTTCTCTCCTCATCTCTACATAAATCCCAAAGCTGGATGTTCAATTACCAGATAAGGGATAGATTTCCAATCCCGGGATCATCCGGATTCCAAGAAGTTATAATATCTCTATGCAGTTCAAGAGTGACCCGAATTAGAGGGGTTTCAGACACACGGACATACAGACAGAATTTGGCGTTTATTTATTTAGTTGTCTGTAACATGAAAGCCTCTCTTATCTTACAAGATTTTTTGAAGACATTGTTATCCCTATGGCAAGTTTTAATTAAGAAAATATGGTTCATAGCAGGAGTGGAGGACATTAAAAAGAAATACCTATTAAAAATGGTCTTGAAGTCGCGATATCAAAATTAATTTCGTTCTGCCAAAGAAGTGGCATCAATAATGAACGCTCTAAATGAAAAACTATGGCGATTAAAGTGAAATGCCGATTGTACCAGCTTTTAACCATTAACCCTTTGAACTTGTTGCGACAGTATATAACCCTTAAATACTGCTTTATAAATATAAGGCAACGGAATCCTTAGCGTGTAAGGAAGAATGAAATGTAATATTTATATTGTTCGGGCTGTTGTCGTCATCTTTTTTGTCATATTCACAACGTTTCGGGACGTTGTATGCTCAAGCCTTCTTCTGAACGTTTTAAAAATAATTTTAAATTTATTTTTGTGTGTGTGTGTCTGTGTGTGTATAAACGTGTCGATTTTTGTATATATGGATGGTCAGACACGATAAATATAATAAAGTGAAACACCGATTGCAACAGCTATAACCATTAATACTTTGAACCCGTTGTGACAGTATATAACCTGTTTATAGATTTATTACATTTGTGTGTGTGTGTGTGTGTGTGTGTGTGTGTGTATAAACCTGTCGATAACACGATTCGATAGAGCGAAAAACGCGCTTCAAAATGATATATAACATGGCTATATATATCAATGAATTAATTCAGAAATCATATATAGAAGTAACATATGTGAGAAAACGACATTATTTTTGCACCAAACTAATATTACAAGTATTAACTTAACTTCGGTAACCGAACGAGATGTCCCTATAAGTCTACAGCGTTTTTTTTTTGCGGAGGGCACCTTGGCGTGGTGTAATGTTTAGCAAGCTTATCTTGCTATGTCAGTTACTACTGAAAAGTGAGTTCGATCCTCACTGGATGCCCCATAATTTCGGCCTTGTGCCACATCTAAGCTACGCTTGGAAAATCTTAAGTCTACAGCGTTTCATTCTATTATTAATAATAATGATAATGTGCTTATTTATTAGCATCGTTTATATCTATGACAATACCCGGATTAGTAAAAAAAAATAAAAATCCAAACATTTTGAACACTAATTGAACCAGTCTTATTGTATGGATCAGAAAATTGAACATTATCTGTTCGTCTTGAAAGACGACTGGCTGAAACATATACAAATCTACTTAGAAGAATCCAGACCATTAGTAGGATATCCTATGCAATGTTTAACACAATTTACAGAGAACTGAGACCAATCTCTCTTAAGCTCAAACAAAAATGATTAGTTTGCCGGCCACTGTCACCGAACGGAGAGAGGTGGTGGTCGTCTCATCCTTATTCTATTGCTTTCTTCTGGAGGTGTGTTCTCGTGAAAGTTGACTTTCCCAGACTCAGGGACACAGGGTTGGACATTAGGGATCTGAGGACGGCAATATAGGACCGAGCCGTGTGGAAAAGAACTGTTAATGGAGTTCGGACCAACCACAGGGGTCTCGAAGGATGTTGATAATGAAAAAAATAAGCATCTTTTCAGCAAGTACCTAGAACCTGTTTCATTTACGCTGTTTAGGGAAATAACTGACGTTTTAAACCGTCAACCGTGTTATATATTTAAAGTATAAGATAAAGAGACAACTCGATAATTTTCTAAGTATGGAACGATCCTAATAAATAAATATGTGTACAATTCATAATATTACTTGCTAATACTACGAGTGTAAGTGATAATAAAATAAAAGAAACATTAGTAGAAAATTAGTAATAGTTGATAGGGATTCTGTAGTGATTGCGAAACAATAACTCCCCTTACCGACTCTCTTCAAACTCGAAAGACTGAGGAAAAAGATGGAAAAGGAATTCGCGTGCATATGTAAAATATGAAAACCTTGCCTTCACAGAAATTCGCCGTTGAGGCAAGAAGAAGAAAGAAAAGAATGTAACGTGTCCATGCGAAATTCGTTTTTATATAAAATGAGTTTTTTTTCCCCGCGTCCAGCTTTCAGGTTGTTGCCAGTGTAAAATTACTCGCCAATTATACTATCAGCTTTTAACCAAGAAAGTGGCCCTTCAAAAAAATTTCATTTTTCTCCAGAATACAAAAATGCTAAGTATTTCAAACTTTTATGCTCTATAACTAAACTTTTTCAGGTGGTCCAAATGACTTTTCAATTTTCAAAAGAGGAGAACATAACCTTTCTAAAAATACCATATTTAGCTTGGTAAATATTTTTTTTTTCCTCCGGCGGACATTGATACCAACCAGACGATATTTCTTTTCGTCTACTTGTGAAAGCATGAATTCGGTAACTCTATTGCGTTTGTTTTAAAGATTTTTAAATATTATTTTTTGCCAGATTATTTAATCTGTTACATAAACATTTCCTCTTCATGACAATGCGTTAAAACTTCGGGCAATAAAAAATTTCTGATTCATTTTTCTGAAACGAGCTACTGACACAACTTTAAGCGTGTAAATTCCTGAATAAATTCCTTATCTTGTTTTGTTAAAATTACCCACGTGTTTCCTTATCATTATCATCCTTCATTAAACTTCTTGCATAGGTAAATCAACTGTTCATTTTAACCCCAAAGCCACTAAACTTCATCTAATAATGATAAAAATTCAAGATAATATTACTACTAAAACTAATCGTGTAATTTTTGTGACGTACGGCGGCCGCTCATAATTAAGTACAATTCAAGACTTCAGTGTTAAGATAAAACAGTATTTAATTACAACCGCAAATAAATACTTAAGAACAAATAAATAAAAGACAACCAAAGATAATTAACCATTCCATTGAATACCTTGTTAGTAGCGTGGCTCGGTTTAACGTCCGGTAAATCCTAAATGAAAATCCAAATCATCGATGCACAATAATTCACACTAATTCGACTGGATATTTCCACTCAATAGTCATTCAATAATCATTCCAGTTAGTAGCCTGACATCGCTATTTATTCACACGGCAGAAAACATGTTGATAAGTCTAGAGTATCACGCTCGAACCTCGGTGTCGTTAGTTACTCATTTTCTTCCTATATGACAATAAATAAACCAAGTGAAATTAAGCTGTAAGAAATATTTGTCTAAAATCAATAATAGTTGATAAGGATTCGTTTACTAATAAAAAAAAATCTTTCAAGATAATATTATTAATACTATTAATGTAATAAAAACGAGGAAAGAAATAAGAAAGTAATCGATGATGATGATTATCCAATAATTTAAAATTCGTGATAATATTACTAGTAATATTATTAACATTACTAATTCGGAGATTAATATTCGAAATTCCGTTAGTCTTGATTTGCTTGTAGGTCCTGAAAGTGTCGGGTAAATCGCCTAGTGCATATGACGCTTACTAAAAAATTATCTAACATCTATATGAAATCTAAATGTAAGCAGAATTCTGCTCATGTTGCATTTTAATTTCGTAGACATTTTTTCCAGCAGTCTGTCGACTTTTGTTAAGTCAAAGTGCTACACATCGTGACTCGTGTTGCCAGGATCTGTCACTTTTATATTTACCTGACGATTATGTTATATAGCATTTTATATTATATAAGATTTATGCTATAAGATTATTATTATTGTGATTATTATTATTATTTTTATTATTATTATTATTATTATTATTATTATTATTATTATTTCCTTAGCTTTCTGTTGTATAAACAGGCCGCCTGACGATTGCCTCTAGCAGGAAACAGCCTGTCACTTGTGAGTGTTGACTTCAATGTTCACTTTTATATATATATATATATATATATATATATATATATATATATATATATATATATATATAATATAAAAAGAAAGAGGTTGTAGTGATTCCAACGAGAGAAAAGTATGTATATTAAAAAGAAGAGAAGAGAGGTGTCGCAAACGTTTTTGGTTGTAATGTGGATTTATTTAGAAAAAAATATTATGCTACACACATATTTATATATATATACACCCCCCCCACAACATCTTGATTATGTTATGATTTTCTCTTCGAGTTAGATGTGCCATCCATTTTCGCTGTTACTGTTCATGGTAGTCATCAAATGATGGGGATGTCTGGCACGTTTCTTTGTTGCAGAATCTGTATCGCCGGCCCAGAATATTCAAAGGAGGACGATCGTTGTCGATACCATCAAAGGATTTCATATTCCAAAATTTTATATGCTTCGTGAAATTGGAATTTTAGAGTAAAATAGAACGATGCTCGAGTTTATTGAGTAGATCTTAAAAGCAAATCTCTTGAACTTTTAAAAAGTAACATTAATTCTGAAAATGCAGGAATTTACTAAGTGATAGGGGACTGTTGGCAACCCTTGCTAGAAGTGACAGTGTGTTTAGAACAGTTTAACTTCGTTGACTGAATAAAGTGTTCAGCTTGAAATTCAGGAGGTTTCACAGAATACAGCATATTCCAAGTGATGGAAATGGTAAAAATGCAAAGATTAACATTAAGGTATTAGAGGAACTACCTAATACCTTCATGTTAATCTTTTATTTATAATACCCATTAATCAAAAATACCAAACAGATTTGCATGCCAGCGGACTTATCTCTAGGAACCTATTTCTGAGGAAGTCCTCCATACAGTAGATTTTAATTTAGGGAGTTGGCCAAAATATTCCTCGGGGATCTTATCGTATTAATTCAAAAACCGAACACAGTATTCCAATTTTTACCATTTACGCTGAGTGATTCTTGGGCCATGTATTATGAAACTAAAGCATAAATAAAACATAAAAATAAAAAATTCAAAAGGAATACTGTGAGTTTTTGATGTCATGGGTAAATTTGTATTAATATATATTTCTCTTAGATTAAAAGTGGGGAATCTGTTTTGTATTTTATGTATTAGCAAACATCCCCCAATAAACAACACAATTGTTATTATTTTATATAGTATATGTAAACGACTATTGATATAAAATTCTACTGAACATAAAGTGGGGGATGGGTTTTCTACTGTTTTTAAGTAATAAA